CCTTCCTTCCTTCCTTCCTTCCTTCCTTCCCTCTCCCGTCGAGTTTCTTCGTTAGTTACAATTAACTCGGAATAACGCGTCGGAAACCACTCGAACGATCGCCCGCCAGTTGATAAAAGTAACTAGGCCGCTGCCGCTGTGTAAATTCGTTGCGACGATCGTATCACGCGTGCCACTCGGTTCAGAGCTTACGGAACTGCAAAGAAAAACGAACGACTCAGTTTGGAAACTGGACGCTTTCGGAGTTTCGAACTTGTTTCAATCAGAGTCGAGTCCTTCGTACGACACTTGACGTACCACGTGTAAATTGCTCATCTCTTTCAGTACTACCGCTGAGTGCCCATTGATATTTCGAATTGATTCATAACTTTACTCGAACGCAGTATAGCAAATTGTTTTATCTCTATACTTGGTTATCGATTTCTTTCGTTTCGTGATTAGCTTGCTTTTCGTCGCAACTCGGAATGTAAAGACACGAGGATTTGTACCAGTAACAGTGAGTTTTACAATGAAGGTGGTTAACTGGCGGCCCACGAGCCGCACGTGACTTGCCCCCACTTTTCTGATCGCTAGCGCTATCCCCTCCACTGCGTTGATCTCTCCGCTGCCAGTTGAGAGTATCGCGTTAGGTACATATGTATAAATTATTCTCTTTGCTGTAGCTGCTAAAGTTGGTAACCAAGTATAATTTTATTTCGTCAAATAAATAATTTGTGACGTAGATTTACGTGTACATCCGTGTTTCCAAATTTTTCACACGGAATTCAATTACCAAATAATTTTTGAAAAAAAAAACAATTTTTGAACAAAACGCACTGCCTTGCAATAATCCATCTTTTATCTACACCGTGATGAAATATATTCTTTCGACTTTCGTCGAAGTCTTTTAAAAGCCATGTTATCCCTTTTCTTTTCTTTCTTTTTTTTGTACTTTCTTTTCATTTTTCGCGCGATGGGAGAGGAGAACGTGACGTCGACAAATCTTATTTCGCAAACGCGAGAACTTAACGCATAAGAGAGGAATATTGTCTAGTCGCGCGATGGCGAACGCACCAAGCATGGAGAAATATCTCCGACCGAGCGTCGGTACTCTCGGATTTTAACTTTGGGATTTATTTCCATATTGGCGACATTCGAGCCGAGTGCGCGTCGATCGAGACTCGAGCATCGAGAAATTTTTCAGCCACTTAAAGCCCCTTCGGCAATGCGACGAATTCCTTGCTTCTGTTTCTATCTGCCGGACGACCAATCGATTTGAGATTATGGAAACGAGATGACAATCGGCTGGTCGTGCGAATAAGAGAGGACGATTGCACGCTCGAAAAGTTCGGATTGGCGTACAGAGATAATTAGCTTGGAATAATGAATAATCAAGGATGACTTAAACACCTAAATTTTAGCATGAATTCTCCCGGTTACAGAGAAACGAAGATCAAGGAGAGCGAAGCAGAAGGAAGACGCTTCGAAGCTCGCGATGGAGGAGGAGGAGGAGGCGGAGCGACACAGATCGTTCATGATAAACAGCAAATGGTTCAGGCGATTGACCGACTATATGGTTCAAATTCCCTCGCCGTCGCGCGCGCTCAAGAGGAGGATCCTGGCGTTGAAGGACACGCCGCCGAGCGTACTACGGAAAGAGTTGGCCCAGGCGAAGGAGAAGACTCGCGCTTGGCAAGAGAGAGCGATCGCGAGGCAGCTTGGCTTCTGGGACGTCGAGAGGAAGCTGGAGAAGAAGAAGTCGGAGAAACTTATGGAAGCGAGGCCGCAGGAAACGACCAGGCAGGAGCAGGAGGAGGAAGTCGAGAGACGTGTCGCGATCAAGCCAGAGGAATCGAAACGCGCGTTTAGTAGCGTGACCAAGATCCCGCGTAAAAGCAAACGGTTGGTACTGACGGAGGAGGAGCTGAAAACGATCGAGAAAAAGAAGCGCTTGGAGCTGTGGAACCTGCTGAAACAGAAGGTGAAGGAGTACGACGAACGATATCGGGAGAAGTCGTACTATCCGCGAATATCTGCTGCGTACTCGCTGGACAAACGAGATTAAACGTTTCTGTAAGCAAGGACCACGCACGTAATTGATCAGCGAAAGACAACCGGGCGTCATTGGGATTCAAGAGGCAGTCTGAGGGCGATTCTGTCGCGAGGAAGGGATCAGCTCGAGGTTTGTCGCTCGTGCACGAGATATTGCAGGTTGGGAAATCGGGCAGCAGCCATGGCAAACGCAATCTCGTCGGAAAGTTTCGCCGAGGAAGAAATCCAAGATGTCTCGCACGAACGATCTTCCCTCCTTCTTTCGACGTTATTACGCATTCGTC